ATTTTTTCATTCCACTTAATTAATTAATGATTTTGAACACTATACAGCATTTATTAGTTCGGTAAACGTTTGACTAGCATGGACATAGTACAGCCGTGTCTCGTGGGTATGCCCCACGTGCATGCTAGGTTTTTAATAATTGCACTGCCCGCTTCTGCTATACGAACATATCTGATGCAGTGAATAAATAAACATTTCATACAATTATTCTTCTTATTTTTTTATGTACGTTACTCCATAAACCATTGATTATTTTAACTTTAGGAACCTTTTGTCATGGTTGGAAACATGTATGTAATTAATTATCATACAATATGAAATTTTGCCATGGTTGGAAACATGTATCCTATGAATGGCATCAGAGTAAATAGGTAATCCAAGATTCTTCTTTTAATTTAGCCCCTTTTTGATACAATTAAAAATTTATATTAAAATTTAATATAAAATTAATAATTAATTTTAATCATATGTTTAATTAGATCAACAAATTTTCAATCACATATTTTTCAACTTTTATTAAAATTTTCTAAAAAATTATTTTTATCTAAAATAAACAAGAGCTTAATTAACTTTTTCGCATATTTTTTTATTTTATCAAATGTAATTAATGTACCTATTATCCTTGCACGTAATCTTAGATTTCTTGAATGATATCAGCATAAATATGTAATATTTTTTATTGAATGACATAAGCATAAATACGTAGTTCATAATTTTATTTCATTTTTTTTCCTCAAACCTATCTTCAAAAATATGTGTTATTTATTTTAAAACTATTTTTTACGTACCTATTATTCTATTTTTATTTTTAAAAACTATTCTAGGTATGTAGTCAAAATCTAACTTTTACGCCACGGGTTATATGTTTTCCTATTTGAAATGCAACCATCCAAAAATCTGCAGAATGGACATATTGATGGATTTGACACAATAAGCATATGTTTGGCCTATTAAATTATAATTCATTTTTTCTATTTTCTTATCAATTATTCTTCAATAAAAAAATATTATATGTAAGTTCAAAATTTTTTCCTTCACTTTCAATCACACATTCTCTAAAAATCTGCCAGCTCAAAATCAAATTCTTATTATAATGAGAGAATAATGGGCCAAAATACGCTAAAAGTAACATCAATGATTTTTCATACAGCAATTTAATGTCATGTCAAAGAATTTTTGGGATTAACAATTGTATGTTTATCGTGTTGGTCCCAGTAATAAACTCAACCAGTATTAAGAGCACAAATAATAAATCAAAAAAGCAAAGAATACAAGATTTTTTAACCAAAGTCCCAAATGTTCATTGGCCATTTTTCTCACTTAGACACCGTTGAGTATCCATTGGAGTTACGCTCAAATCCACTAACACAACTTCAAAAATCAAGATTACAACAGTTCGAACTCAAAGAAAAGAAAACGTACGAGAAATTTTCCCAAAAATTACAGAAGTTAAGTACCACTCACTAAAATAAGTTACTTTTCAATACCTACCATACAAAATCATCACTATTTACAATTTTCACTAAGGCCCTGTTTGATAGGTAATTTTCAAATTCCATTTTCCACCATTTTGGCATGTTTGATAGCCAAAATTTTTATGAAATTTTTTTTTCCATCTTTTACCCCATACGTGTGCATTTTCGATCAATAAAACGGTGATAATTGGTTTTTCAGCTTTATTTTTTTTTTTATATTTTCAACAATGAGAAGAAATTTTATCCACAATTGTAAAAAAATATATCCTTTTAATTGACAATTTTTGTGAAAAATAAAGTCAAACGACCACCAAAAGATCCAAAATTTCAACTTTTTTCAGGTGAAAAATTATATAAATCAAACACATTTAGTTGACAATTTTCAGAAAAAAATTTCTAGGTAATTTAATTCCCTAAAATTCATTTTTTTTCCAGCCAAATTCCATTCTTACAATCAAACGGACCATAAGAAAATTATTGAAGAAAAAGAGAATGAAGAAGAAGAATAGTAGAGAGGAAGAAGTTTATGTAAAAGCTGCTGGGTCTTTTTTTTTTTTTTTTTGTTTTTTTTATTTCTCTTGATCTAGTGAGACATAACCATTATATAACTGAAATAGAATCAAGTCTTTGATCCAACAGTCATTTAAATGAATTTTATTGAATATCAGTGTCTTAAGTTTATCCACAAAAGGAGGGAGGGGGTGGGGGATCCAAAAAGAACATATTTCGAACAACTGTTGCTATGTATGTTCCAAATCGTTAAATGCAACAGCACATTAACCTTTGTTAAGCTGGCGACAATTTTATTTTAAACCTTTAGACATGAAAATGCATTTCAATGATTTGACAAAAGTTGGGAATCACGAGTCTCTATGTCTCAATATAACTCAATATAAGATCTTATCTTAAGAAAAGATTCTAAAGATGTAATTTTGAGGCCTACTAAAAGCCTACATAAACCCTATTAAAAGCTTACCTAGCTATTAGAAGTCTTATTAAAAGCTTATAAATTATGAAAACCTACAAACTATCAACTGTAAGAAAAATGTTTAAGGCAAAAGCTAACCCTTCATTAAGAATACATATGAAAAATATTTAAGAAAAAGACATATAACTAACCATTCATTAAGAATTCGTATTAAAGCTACTTTTTGCCAATATAACTTGGTTTACGAAGACAATCAGCACCTGTAATAAAAAGAACTGTTAGTGCTACTATAAAAATTTTAATTGCTAAACTAATAAATTTTTTTTTTTTTTTTTAACTAGAAAGTAATTGAAGAAATTAAGCCCCCATTATTTCAAATTTTAATGGGTGGAATATTATTATTTTTTGAAGAATTGGTGGTTGACAAAGACAATTTTTTTTTTTCAGTTTACGTGTAATATTATTTTATGGAAGATTATGTGGTTGAAAGTATGAGAGAGAAAAATAAAAATTAATTTAATGGAGACCAAACCGGGGCTAAATTATTCTTTTTGTTCGTACTTATATGCACCACACACATATGATTATAAAATAAAGATAAAATAAGTGTGAAAAAAAAGATAAAAATTTTAAATATAAAGTACAATATTAAAAGAAGAAAAAATATATTATTAGATCAAGTAGGACATATAATAAAATATAAATGACCAAATTATAATAGACATGTTAAAAAGTTTAAGGGTTTTATTTGTAGAGATCATATATATTTTGCTAGTAAAAGCTCTAAGAAAAAATAAAATAGAGAAATCATAAATAAATTTAAGATAATTAAAGAAATACAATGTAATATTTGTAGAAAAATTGATGATGAATCTTTTAGTTTAGTACATAGTATTTATATAGATGAAAATTAGACAATTAAGAAATAAATAGTTCTAAACATTGAAATGACAGTATTTTGGAAGAGTTGAAGTTTTCAACTCTTGATATAGAAATAATGAATATAGTACAAGAATGTGTACATAAATGGATTAGAGGACAATTGTCGATCATGGGTAAATGTAGAATATGTAAAATATATCGCGGACATAAAAATAGAAACTAGTGTAAAAATTGCTTAAGAATTAAAGAAGAAAATTTATAGTAAAGGTAAAGACTACTGTGAAATTATAGAAATATTAGAAAAATAGAATTATTAATACCAATAATAACACAGGCAAAATATATGAAACATGAAGAGAAATACAATATAAAATTAGAAAGAAATAAAATAAAAGAAAACTATAAATAGTTACGCTAGAAAATAATTATTTAGAAACAGAAAACCAAAAAGAAATATTACTTCAAATATTCAGAGAAATATAAATGATTACAATAACTAAATTAAGCCCATTTTCCCAAACTCATTTTCTATCACGTAGACCATTGGTTTCCTTCAATTTTGTATAAAATACAAGTATGGAACCATTTGCAGTTTTGCAAAAGTTAGGGACCCAACTACAATTTTCCCAAATTAAAGTCAAGTGTATATTTGATACAAATTCTGCACCAAACACAAGGCTAAGGGACTTCAATGTCAAAAAAACGTTAGGGGTCATTTCCTCCTATGGACCATTTGCATTATATTCCCGTGGAAAAATCTTGAGTGTTAAAAGGAAATTCTTAATTTTCTTTTTAACAATAATGCTATTGAATGAAGTACCCTTTTATTCTCAGAAAACAGATGTCCGGTACAAAAGGTTATTATTATTATTTTTTTAAATAAAATTTTTGAGTAAAATACAAGTTTTTAAGGACTCAGATATAATGAACATGATGAAGTAGTGATTATAAGAAAAAAGAATTTGAGAATTCGTTTAGAAGAATTTGAGATGAGTCTCATCCATATCCAAAGTTATCTAGGCGTCTAATCACGTTTTTGGTCAAGTATTAAAGCCCTACACATTCATTTTTTTCAAGCAAACATAGGTAGCTAAGGCATGCTATGTTCGGCGATCCTTGACGACTAATGCATGAACGTTAATTCTTGGAAATGTCGGCACGCAATTGAACTCTTTTCTGTAACAGACGTGACATTCAAGTGGACTATAATAATGAGCGAATGCAACAATTTTGATTTATAAACTATTTACAAAATTGCCAAACCAAAGCCTAATTGTATTATACCAAAGTTAAACAGTACTTATTTATAAAGAATTCAACATATGTAGAGCACTGTGTCAAAAACAACATTTAGCCCTTGTTTGGCCTCGTTTTATAATTTTTTTTTTCAAACTTATTGTTAACCACAAATTCTTTCAATTAAATATTTTTGAACAATGACACAGACCTTTTTCTTACTTTTTAACTATAAATATGTTCTCTAAATAACTTTTTGTAAAATATGTACCAAAGTGCTTTTAAATAATTTTTACACTAATAATTACATGAATAAGTTGAACGTACCAAAATACTTTTATAAAATATGAACCAAGGTTTGACCTTTGTGTTCTCCACTATGTTTATCAGGCTATATAAAATATTTTAGTTTATATAGTATGTTTGTATGGTTTATCAGGCTAATATAGTAAAACCAATTTCTCATCAATCATATAGTATACCAAGGTGAAATAATGTAAAATAATAGCAACTTACAACTTACATTTGAAGGATAATGAATACAATTCTGTAGTAAATCACATCTTACATTAGAAGACAATCATATATTTGCTGATACTGAAACATCATTGGACCTATCACACACTAATTAAGAGCATAGTAACAAACTTGAAAGTAGATGCATTAAAGCCACAGAGTTTGGTCGCTTAGTAATCAAATACTCGAACTTTCCATCTGTTCATTCCTTTTTTGTCATAGAAATGGTGACGTTTACAAATTTCGTCTCCTCTTTGGACATGCAATCACTAAGAATTTCCCCATACTTAAGAAATAGTTTATCCATTATGGATTCACCAAAGTGATCCATCAACAAAGGCTCCGCTACTGATCTCATGCATTTCGCTACATTGTATCCATCGTCATTGGAAGAATGAGGCAAGTTGAATTTATTTCCGCAGGCAGCCCAGTTGATTTCAGAAGCCTCTAGATGATTAATGGCGAATGATCCTTCCTTTTCAACCTCTGCCTTCACTTCAAATGGGGAAGGCGTGTACTGAGGAATGCTGAAAGAGTATAGCTTCTCTTGTTCTATGAGTCCCTGCAAATAGAGATATATAAAATACTTGTTCATTGTCATATTCATGCCATTCAATCTTATGTACGAAACATGTCCTTTATTTTACTATTTATTAGCTACCTCGTAAACCATTTGTTTAAGTGCCATGGCTAAGAGGTCCCAAATGTAGCAGCATTCTTTGCTAGTAGGATCATCACCTTTTCTTCCCAAAATTGTTAAAACCATGCGCCCCCCACTCACTAATTCCTCTGAACGACACTTTAGGAACATTGAGAAGTCTTTTTGAAATTGCTCATAGTATGCCTGGATCACGCTTGAAGGGCTTGTACTTGCCAAGTATATGTTTTCTTTGTTCATCTCCACCCCTTTAGGAACCTGATAAACATATAAATTGAATAAACAAAGAGAGAGAGAGAGAGAGAGAGAGAAATTATTTTGAAAAGGTGTTAAAGCCATGATTTAAACAAATCTTTTTCTTCTTATATATCATTTCAAGCTTTTAGACATTAATGTTTGTTAACGGAGCATGAAAGTAGGGATTCTAATTATGTTAAAAGTCAAACTTTCAATCACTTGTTTATAAAATTTGTGCATATGACACGCTTTTGATGATAATTGAATCTAATATGCACGTCGGTTCTATTTGATGTTGAAATGCATTGGATGAGAGCATGTATGGTACATACATTCAATTTCGTGTCACTACTTATTTATAAAAAAATTAATCATGTTTAAGACTTTGATGAAAAAAATAAGTTTTACGTGCAAGTGGGGGAACTTGTTTTAAATATAATAACTATGTATTTCTCAATAGAGAGTCAAGAAGATTAATTACTTGAGATAGCCACATAAGACTATAGGAAGAATGAACAAAATGTAGACTTCCAATAGGACAAAGCCTGCTATAGAATGAACCAGGCAACCCAGTGAAAAAGCATGGTCCAAATTCAGATCCCATTTCATCTCTTAATTCTTCTTGAACCCGTGGTAAGGATCGAAAAATGGAGTTAAAATCATTTCCAGGAAGATCGTTCAAGAATATTTGAAATTCTGGCGATGATTTATGACCAAACTTTCTTCTTATTTTGTCCACTGTTTTCATAACCTCAGTTGCCACGAACAAAGTATTTGGCCCAGAAGAACAACCAAGATCTGCTATGCATATAGTCTTGAGGAACATGTTCCCATATACTCCAGTAACTGCTTCTTCTATTATTGCCTTAGTCATGGCCATCACTTTTCGCTGCCATAATTAATTTCAAGTTAATTTCGAATAGCTTTCTTTTTTTAAAAAAAAATTAAACAAATAATACATGCATAAATTGAGCATGCTCTCACAACTCTTTATGTGCGGAAATGTTGGAAAGCATTATTTCCATCTATTAGTCAAAATGTTGAAGAGCTTATGACAAAGGAAAACATTATATAATGTGTGTCTCATGTTGGTATTCTTCAGCAAAATAAGAGAAGAAACTTAGCAGAAGGATTTTTTTCTTCTTTGCATATTAGCGCAGAGAGAGAGAGAGAGAGAGAGAGGAAGAAGAAGAAGAAAAAGAAGAAGAAGAATCATCATCATCATCTTTAATTTACCTGAATTACTGAGTTGCTTGCATAACTGTTATCTCCAAATCCTCCATTCATGTGTAGCACATTACTTACGTCCATACTTTCTCTCTATATATAACTAAAACTCACTAATTTTGTTGTGAATTCATTTGTTCAACTATAGGAGGCTATTTATAGTCGACCCTCGTCACTGCCTATTAATTTAACAAAGATATTCTTATAATATATTGGTATTCTGTCACTACAAGTTAAAACCAAGTTTGTTGACAATATTTAAAACTCGATGACATTAAATTAAAGGGTCGAAAACGTTGGACACATGTACATATCACTTCCGTGTCCCATGGGTATACTCCACGTGTATACGAAGGTTTTAATAATTGCATTTTCCAGGTTCTGCTCAAAAATTACGAACTTATCTGCAAGCAAAAATTGGTGAAAAGCTTGTCAATCATCGTTGAATTATTTGATCTAAAAATTTAAATTGTTAAAAAGTGACACATATATATCTTTCAAATATTATCTTCAATACATCCCTTCACTTGAAACCGTGATCATTTTTTTTAATAAATGTCTAGCACGTGCACAATTTCTTCTCACGAATGACAATAAAAATATTCTCAATCCACATCATTAATTTTTGTTTCCTATATTTTAAACTTAATTTATTATTTATTTTTATTTTACTTTTGTTGTGTAAAAACATATTGTAAGATTCAGAAATTTTAAAATGCATATATTACTTGATAATATATCAACATAAAATAATTTGATTTTTATTGAATAATCAAATTTCATGAAATAAAGTATCAAATAATTTTATTTTATTTTTAAATTTCAAAAGAAACGTGTTTTCTAATTTTCTCAATACATGGTATATTCTAGGGTTCAAATAATAAATATATGTTTAGTTATTTAGTTAGAAGAATAAATTGTCCCTTCTCAAGTCTAAAACATTTAAAAACTATTAACTACATAAAAAAATTATTAAGACATAAATACTTAAATGCATTCAGACTTTTGTACGCTGCTCTATAACCATTAATTATTTTAACTTATGAACTCTTTATCATTGCTGGAAACATACATGTAAGTAGTTATCATCAGACGCAGCCTAGACCAAAACCACCAAGGCAATCGCCTAACTTTGGAGCCCTAAACAAAATTCAACATATTTACCCTTATTATTTTATTTTTAAAATATTTCCATAATTCCATTTGTATAATTTCTTTCTTCATTTAAACATAAGTATCCTAGTTATTTAAATATTGAACTTTACTATTTGTACAATAATTTTTGACATTTTGATTAACATTTGCATTGTTGTCAAGTATTAATTGGATGAAAAAACTATTTGAAATTTAGCCCCTGTTTGACCCCCATTTTGTAAAATTGAAAATGGATGGACTAGTATTTTCTTGAAAAATGAGTGGTTGAAAAAAAAAATTCAATTTACGTGCAATATTATTTTATGAAAGATTGTGTGGTTGAAAATAGCAGAGAAAAAAATGTAATGTAATAGATATTAATGGAGGTCAAATGAGGGCTTAAACTGTCCAATAGGATAATATCATGTGACAAAGTGTAAATTAAAGAGCACATCATAGTGTACATATAGCACGGTTCTTAAATATTTAGCCCCCATTTTTAGAAAATGAAAATGGATGGAATAGTATTTTTTTGAAAAATGAGTGGTTAAAAAAGAAGGAAAAGTTTTCGATTTATGTGTAATATTATTTTATGGAAGATTGTGTTGTTAAAAATAGGATAGAAAAATAAAATGTAATAGAATTGAAATTAATGAGGGCCAAACGAGTTCTTAGTATTGCTACGCTTATAAAAATGATGTATAAGGACCTTATTAAAAAAAATGTCGTTTAGAACCTCAAAAGTCGTAATGTCGGCTTCATTATCATGCAGTATGAACATATAAAGAAACAATTTTATCTTTCAATTTCTAGGATTAGATCATACTATATGTACTCACACTTTTGTACAATTACTTACACACACAATAGGGGTGGGGATCACATAATCGACATTTTTTGAATTCATATGAGGTCCACATTTTTTGTAAGTGTGTATAACCTATTTTGTCAGTGTTTGTGACTACATATATACTAAGGGCAACTCCAACCATTGCACCATTGCACCAAATTGCACCAAAATTTGGTGCAAACTTCCTCCAACCATTGCACCATTGCACCAAATTTTGGTGCAAAAAATGGTGTAATGAATAGTATTGCACCAAATATGGTGCAACACTATTCATGTTGCACCATTTTGCACCAAATGGTGCAATGTTCATTTTGCCCTTATTTTTCTTTTTTCAAAGATAATGGTTAAGGGCATTTATGTCATTTTCATTCTATAATAATAATGATAATGATAATGATAATGATGATAATAATAATAATTACTTAATTAATTACACTATTAATTATATTATTAAAGTTTATTATTTTTAATAATATAATCAATAATAATTAACGTAATTGTTAATTTAACGTAAAGTTAAATTCGTAAAGTTTACGTTTAAAATTAAATTTAATGTAAAGTTTATATTATTAAAGTTTATTATTTTTGTAAATTTAACGTAATTGTTTATCATAAATTAATAATATAATCAATTATTTTTGTCAATTTAACATAATATATATGACGTGTGATAATATAGTAATCAATATATTTTTTAATTTAATGAAGTTATGATTTAGTAATATATATAGTTATAAAATAAATAAATAAATAATATTTTAAAATAAATATATTGTCAAAAATCGAAAGAATGAATAAAATAATAAATCACTGTTCATTTGGTGTAAATTTTGGTGTAATGATTGGAGAAGAATTTTGGTTTGGTGCAAGATTTAGTGCAAAATTTGATGCAAAATTTAGTACAGGGTCATGTGGATTAGGTAGTTTGGTCTGTCTTCATGTGTTGATTCATTTGTCCAATGAATGACATCAGAATAAACACGTCATCCATGATTCAACTTTTAGGGACATGTAGTCCGGTTCAATTAAATTATTTTAAAATTTAAGTTAAAATTAATTATTAATTTTAATCACATATTTTATGAAAGTCACAAATTTTCAATCAAATATTTCATCAAATTTTATTAGAATTTATTAAAAAATATTTATTCAAACCCAACCGGGGCTTAATTAAAATTTTCACGTATTTTTTATTCTATCAAAAGTAATTATGTACTCATGTTCTACGTACGTAATCAAAGATTATTTTTATGAATGACATCAGCATAAATGCGTAATCAATGATTTTTTATTGAATGACATCAACATAAATACGTAATACAAAATTTTACTTTTTTTTTTTCTCACCTATCTTTTCGAATATATATGTTTTTCATTTAAAAACAATTGTATCTAAGATTTTTTGGGATATTCCATGTAATGTTTGTTCTGTTGATCTCGATATTAAACTCAACCAACATCAAAATGTAAATAATAAGCCAACGACAATAAAGAATACAAGATTTTTCGGCAAAAGTCTCGAAATTTTACCGATCATTTCTAACATTTAGTCCCCCATTTAGCATCTGTTAAGAATTACACTTGAATCCACTAGAACAATACAGGGATGGATCCAAAATTATTGGTGAGTTAGGATGGCCGTTGATCATTGATAAATGCATTTTATGCGCTTATTCGGACTTTTATTCTCATTTAATCATATATGAATTGAGCAATTATCTATTTAATTAGTGTAAATTATATAAATTGTAGGACAATTCTAACTTGGGTACAATTTATATGAAAAGAGGCTAATTGAAGCTTAATCTAAGTTTATTTGAAGCAATTGAAAATTAACCGGATTGTAGGAAATCAATTGGAAATATTAATGGAGCATATAGTAAATTCATAAGTTTTGAGTGTTAAATTCAACATTTGAAAGGTTTGAGGACTAATTTGCAAAGCTTCAAAACTATTTTGAGTCAATTATTATGATTTTGGAATGAAGATGACTTGATTGCAAATTAAAAGAAGATGGAGAATTAAATTACATGAGTAAAGGAGTTCAATTGAAAAAATGAATTTGTTTCCTTTTATTTCTTAAACTCTTTGATAGAAACTAATTTGAACTCTTTAGTAGAAATCGATTTAAACTATCTGGTGGAAATCAAGCTGAATAAAGATTTTGCATAAATTTTTTTTATAAATACATACCTTAGTCCAATAATTAAAAGGGGCTTATGGAGTTTCATCAAACACATACATTCAAGCTAAGACTCGGAGATGATTGTACATTTATTATTCAAGTAAAAAGGAGAAAAAAATCTAAAAATCAATCAAGGAGCTAGGATTCCAAGGATTTTACAAGAAGAGGAGGAATCTTGGTGCAAGATCTTCATCTTTTTCCCCTTTTTTCCATAGTCCCCAATGAAATACTTTAGTTTTTTCTTGTATTCTTTTTCTCCCATGAAGTGTAATTAAGTATTTCTTTAGGATGAATGATTATAACATAGTACTGAACTTAATTTTAATTAAAAAATTTTAAATATCCAAATAATTTTGTGAATTGTTTTTACTTCTATTTTTAATGTTTGGATTAATTGGTCACTAATTCATTGATTTCGTGAAGGATAATTACATACAGATACAGATTATTTGTTTAGACCTCGTAGTAAAATTCAAAAATTAGTATAAACTATAGATATACTTATGCTAGTTATTACGATTGTTACATGAATTCTTAGAACATAGTTGTGTTTCACTAAGATTGATTCACATAAAAATATAGAATTGAATTAATTAAATAGATTTGGTGAGAACTCGAGAGGGGTAAAAGAATTCGATCGGGTCAATATAATCAATTGCATAGTACTTGATAATTGAGATTAAGGGGATAGTTATGGTTAAAGCTGATAAAGAGATCGAAGTATTCTTAATAAAGAGATCGAAGTATTCTTAATTGAGTTTTGAATTGAGTAATTTAGGCAAGCTATACCTTATTCAATAGGCAAAACAATTTTTGGAGAACGTGCAAAACGTGATACAACAATCCATGCAAGCTAAGCAAGTCCTTCAAAGCTCTTTTCAAAGTTCCATAAAAAATTATTGTCCAAAGTCGAGCTTGACACTATAAATCAAGAACTAATTACCCATCTTTCTAATCCTTA